AGCTTACGTTTCTGTGGAAGTTTCAATCTCCAATCAATCCACGAAAGGATTTGGAAGACACAACAATCTTCACTGATTGCATCTCTAAATATCTCATTCGGGAACTTTCACATAGTCTTCGACATCGTTTGTACTAGATCTAATTATAAATTTAGTAGCTAATTACATTCATATTTTCATTGCTAAATGTAAATATATTTGATCCTTCAGGCGTATAGCCTGTTCTCTACAATACTAAGCTCGAAACTTGATTATTCACTTTCGAAGCAGGAAACTTAAAAGGAAAAGATGTATGTCATTTCTGTCTCTCGGTGAACCGCGAGCCAACCTTTGGAGGACGCCAATGCGTAAAACAATAACATTTTTGAAAGGTATAATTTTTTTATCTTAATGTCGAATGTTGAAAACATGTTTCTATTCCTAAATTTTCAAGTTAGTAAAATTGTATATACATGTAACATATTTTTTAAAATTTCTTCAATAAAAATTGGTGTTTGAGTTGTACGTAACCTATGACAGCTGCATTTTACACCCCAAGAACACCTACATTGCATTAAAGAAGTGGACTGGAGAGTTCTGGAAAATTTCGAAGAAACACTTGTCATACAAAATTCTGCTCACCCCTGGTCTAGATGACAGATGGCTTGTCGTATGTGAGGGTAAAAATGGGCAATATATTTTTGTATGAATATAACAATTTCGTCTACAGGTCGTTCATCCTCGCATCTGTGTTGTGTCAGGGTATTTTCGTTCGTTTAAAACCACGCGGCAGAGGGGTCGATAAACCATAATGCAGTAAATTAGTCTAAACTAGCACCTGGAATTAGAGGATACCTGTCTCCATCGAAAAACTACTCTGTTGCTGAAAATTCAGTGAGAAGTAATTCAGCTTCACTTTAGATAAACTGAAAGTAAAACAATTGAACAGAAATACTGTTCATGAATATGTCTCTCATTTTACAACATAAGCCTAATTATTATAATCACGTCTACGCGTGTTTATTTAGAGAGAAACAAGTAATGTCTTTATGTTGCATTAACTTTTAAGGAGCATTAGCAAAGGCAAACGAATGTACGAGGCCATATAAATCATTCAAAATCTTAAAATTAAATTCAAACAAGCAGTTTAATTCTAAGGACATTAAGCTGCTATGCTATTGGTTTGCGAAGAACTCTGCTCCATGGAGTTAGTGAGGTTATGTTCGCACTTTCTCGTTGGAATAACAAAAGGAAAGAAAATGGCTGTCTTCTGGATTGCTGCGCCGTGTAATCTGGTAGAAGTTAACAGACGTTTCAGAGGTCCTGGCTGCCTCCATCATCAGGGAGATTGTCCGTAAACTTCTACCAGACTACACGGCGCAACAACCCAGAAGACAGCCATATTCAGACTCAACGCCGTGAAAATTTCAAATCCTACACAACAAAATTAAAAGTACCATAATGGCAATGGACTTACTCAGAGTGACTGTGCTAAAAACAGGCTAGGCCTACAGGTTTACCAATGTTATAGTAATGTTCAGTACAAAATATGGAAATCTCCAAATGGAAAAATGAAAGCGAAAAATCACTAGTTAGCATTTCTTAAAGCAATGTTAATGTGTTTGTATGTATAACGCCAACTATAATTTGCGGACAGGCATTAATTTGGCCGCGGAGCACTGGTTCATAATACTGCTGTGTTTGTATCTGACATGAAATTATGGCTTAGGATGAAGACCGGCGCGTAAGATGTGGTCCGCAGATCCCGGGGGTCCGCGACTGTTTGGGAAATTACATAGCTTTCCCAGCAGAATAATAAAGTATTTTTGCGTACAAAAAGAAAAATCTGAATTTTAAAATTTTAAAACGCTCTGTAAAAGTGAAGGAATCTTAAATTGGAGATTAAAAATTAAATTGGTACCCTCAGCTTGATTTGTGGGAGCAGCACAAGCACCATCTGTATGTGATGAGAGCGACTAAGAGGCTTCGAAACTTCCATACAGTTCGAGATGTCTAGAAATATCGATGGTGTTTCATTTAGCCGGAACCTCCGTGTGTTGATCTGCTGAGCAAATTGCAGTGCAGAGTGGGCGATAGCGGTCTTTAAGCGTAGTGTGTGTAATTAAAGTCTAAGTGCGTTACCAAAGGCCTGCTTTACTTGAACCCGATTCCATAACAGCACGTTGTAAATAAATATATTTGTGGTTATCCACAAAAGGACTATTGATCGCTGGCTTAAGCTTTAGCGGAAAAACACTGAAGACATCAATGAAGGAGGTGCATCATGCTCAAAACAAAGAGGGCTAAATTTCGCAAATACGATGTTGAATATTTATCGATGGGTTTCACGTTTCCAAGTTCAGAACACGGACAGCGGCCGCAATGAGTTTTATGTTACGAATCATTACCAAATTATGCCATTCAACCATCTAAATTATGAAGACACTTGGAAAGTAAGCATAAAGAACATGCTACCATCGAATTTTTCAAAAATAAAAGTAAGAGATCCGACAAAGTGGGGAAACAATTAAGAAGATCGCAACGGGTTCTTGCAGTGAAGATGCTGTGAAAGATTATATGAAGTGTTCATGTTCATAGATAAAGTTGGAAAACCTCATACAGTCGTTGAAAAGTGATATTAGCTGCTGCTAAAGCCATGGTTAATGCAGTGGTTGGAGAGAAAGCAGCGAAAGGTTTAAATTTGGTGGCATTGTTAAACAAGGGAACTCACAAAATTTAGAGAGAAGTTGATTAAAAGAACTTGTAAAAGTCAAAATAATAGCCTGCAGGTGGATGAAAGTACGGACTTTGCAAAGAAATCTCATTTACAGTGTTACTTTAGATATTAGTTCATAAGGGAAACATTACTGCCGCTTCTGATACACACCACTTCTGAACATGTGTACAACAGTTTTAATGAATTCTGCACTTAACTTGTTAATGCAAGGAGAAGGCATCACAATTTTAATGTCCAAGACAAGATTGAGGCAAAGATCAAAGAGCTAGAATTGTGGACTCGTCGCTTATCAAAAAGAAATTTCGATGTTTTTCAAAACCTGAAAACCTTCCTGGAATCTGCTGATCAAAAATTATCGAACGAAGTCTTGGAATTTTTTTACCCAGCATCTGCAAGATCTGCAATACAGTTTTCGCGAGCAATTTCCACCTCGCGATGAAAGTAAAAATTGGATTACAGAAGCATTTAATGTACAGGGTGGGTGGGAAGTAAGCAGGCATTGAGAAATGGTTATAACCTCTATATTTAATGCCTACTTACTTCCCACCCACCCTGTACATATTGACAAATAAAATGAACTGACAGCAGCAGAAGAAAATGGCTTGATTGAAATCTCTACGGATTGTGTACTAAAACTTCAAAGAAAATTCTATGACGAATTTTTGGCTTCATGTACGAACGTATTATCCCGATTTGTCGTGCAAAGCAGTGAAAGTTTTAATTCCATTCCCCACCACCTATTTATGTGAAAAATAAATATAGAAACCGCTTAAGAAATGCAGAATCTGACCTTAGAATTCAACTCTCAGAAATAAAACCGACATTCAAAAGCTAGTCGCTGTGACGCGGCATCAACTTTCCGATTAAAATTAAAATTCCGATTTTTGTATTCGTAATTTGTGTATTTGTTTGTTGTGTATTTTTTCTGTGTTGTTTTTATGTTCAATTCGTAGAAATGGCTTTGGGTCCGTGGCTTCCAGTGATGATTCAATGCTGGTCCGCAGAAATCAAAAGGTTAAGAACCGCTGATTTAGACTACAACTCCATGGGGCGTGTACCGTGCCAATAATGCTTTATCTGCAAGCAGGTACGTATCTTTGTTAGAATACATTCATAAACTGGATCAAATTCAGCTTCCTTAGAATTCTCACAAGCAGGCTGTAAAGTGACGGACGGACCGTGCCATGAACAGAACAGCTGAGCGTGTACACACACGGGCGCACGCACACACATATGTATACGCACTTTCATTAGTGCCTTCAACTGTTTCGCACACGACAAAGACACGCGGTCTAGATGTGTGACTTTCCGATGATCTGATAAGGAATATCTAATCACCATTCACTGGAACCTATTCTGAGCCAAATCACTGCCGCAGAGGCTCAATATTGTAATATTACTCTCCTGTCGATAGTAAGGTCTCCCGATTGAAAAATTTCATGCATTCCCAGTGCGCTCCTAAGCGCTACAATTTAAGAACAAACTGTTATATACATGTGTGATCCACACTTAATGTTACGATAAAAGACAACAATGGTTACTTTTGTATACTGTCAAAAATGAACGTTATCATTGTATGCAGAAATAAATGGAGGGTGAATAAAACATCAAAATCCCGGTATTACAAAGGCCAACAAAATATGAGTGTGTGGATAAAAATCAGCCCAAGGATGGATATTATGAAACAAAAACACCTTATAGGCCTTGTGTTTGTCTGCCGCGGTTTTTTAAACAATGCAATCAAAGTGTTCCCATTGTTGGAACACACTGTTGTGCAACAGTGACACCTGATTACATTATTGCAGTAACGTCCTACACATGATGTGACGTAAAGAATACCTTTGGATAGTTAGTGTACTCAAAAGAGTAACTAACTAGTGACTTACCGAACCCGAAGGTTCATCACCGACTTAACCAAAGCCCTCCACCGGACTCTGTCCTGGGCCAACAAAATCCAGTCTCCTTCAACTCCTATTTCCCATAGATTCCATCTGACATTATCCTCCCATCTACATCTAGGTCTCCCCAGCGGTCTCTTCCCCGCAGGCTTCCCAACCAATACCTGATGCTCACCTTAAAAGAGTACAAGTTTAATTGTACAGTGATCGAGAGCTACACCAATCCCAGCAAAAATTTAAAAATGAAAGCGTCTCCGCTGTAGTGGGTTGTATGAAACGAGGTCACACACATATGTATCGCTGTAGTACCTTGTTGATAACTATTACCGCCTATCTGCATGTTACATAAGCAGTCATACTTTTAAAGAAAGTGAAAGACAACTCACCACATTTTAAACGGCATTTCCGAATGTTCGCAGTAGGAAAATCAATTCCTGTTGGGATGAAGTTCGTCTTTAACCTCTAGTAAAACAACAAGACACTTATTCCAAGTCGCATCAGTGTGGGTGAAGACTGAAATCGATTTCACAAAGAAAGAGAAGCAGTGGAATGACCACGGTAACTGACCAGTGAGAACACAGTTGATGTGCCCTGTTACTTGTGGGTCCCTAGGTAAAAAGACGTGAGTCATACACCGCACTTGGATGGCTGTATGTTAATAAATCCATAGAAACACCTCCACACCCGCTCTTAGCATTCGCATGAAGTCGCACCGATATGAGAGCTGTAACAATCCTGCGCACCAGCTGGTCCCGGAAATACACACGGTTGACGACGGACGACCTGCAGCAGCAATCTGACAAGGTTCTGACTTGTGGCTGTAGGCCAGGGTC